GATATTTATTAAATTATTCATTCCTTTAACACTGTTTTAATTGTGATGTTCGTTTATTTCTTTCAAGAAAACAATATCAATAATAATGTCAGTACCATTAAAATCACATGGTTAAGAATTATGAAATTCCATTGAATTTCACGTGGACAAAGTCGTAAATATAAAGAATAAAGTTATCAAAAAAATTTGTAATTAAGAAAATATAACCATGACTGAAAACTCATTTACGCCCACCCATAGCGGGTGCCTAATAGCTAGTTTTATCATGAATCTCTCTATCTTTATCTAAGTTGAAAATTATCTTACGTGTCGTGGTTAAAATTATAATATCTGGTATAACTATTTACAGATTATGTTGCCTTATTGTATACTCATTTTCTAAACGATATCCTTGATTTATTTTACATATAAACAATCATTTTATATCCTCTATAATAATTCATGTGAGTTGAGTTGTGCAAATCTGATCGAATAATTTTTATATTTTATTTATTTTTATTTTACTATATTAGTATTCGAATGATTCAAGATTTTTAAACTTTGTAACAAAAACTTCTTAATATATTAATATCAATTAATAGGTCCTACACTGAATTGACTTAATTTACATAGTAGTATAGTATTTTTGAATTACTTTCTGTAATTTTCGAGCCCCGAAGAAATAAGAAGTCTTAATATAAAGATTTCTCATAGATTAAATTATTTTCTAGATTTATTATTCTGTTTGTCAAAAATTCAAAATATTTTGGAGTGATTCCATAATATTTTAAGATCAATCTAATAATTTTCTGGTTGTTCAAGTATTATAACATAATAATGACAAACAGAACCTTGTATTGCTTTTTTTACCAGCCTAGTCACTTCTTGCGTCATCAGTTCCTCTTTTCTGTTCACGGAGTCAGACAATATGGATAATATATGTACAATAATATATGCAGCTATAAAGTTTGTAATATTAATTAACAAGACGCCAGAAGACAAGGTTGTATAATTATCTTAAGAATAGTTCCGACTCTTTTTATTCAAATTACCATATTATCAATAATTAATAATAATCAACGATGTGTTTGAAAGTCGAATTTTATTTATTTATTAAATCTATTAATGTAAAACATTTGATTTTTCTCTTTAGCCGAATTTCGTAAAATAACATGCGTTTTTCCAATAATTTTTCGTTGTTTAACACTGTTAGATCATCTCTTCTTCATAAGATCTACTCACTGTATGCTGACGTATCCATATTTTCGACCTACGTATATCGCTCAAGAGCGCATATCGAATGAGCTACTTAGATGCAACCTACGTTAAATATTTTTGTAAAGGCGATAATATGAATCTTAAATACTCGATGAATTTAGGTTTTTTTTTTCAAGAATTTATACCAACATGCCAGCAATACTCAACAATTAAACTTTGATATCTTATTACGTTGAAAAGAATAACTTTTATAGATGTCTGAAAATCCAAAATTTAATTTACGTAAATCTTAATTTATTCTCTTCAAATTAAAATATCAGAAGGTTATTACAAAAAAATATTTATTTGGTAATAGATAGGAGTATCTTTTGAAGTAATTGATCGATCTTGAAATCGATAGAATATTAAAATATTTCGACATCAATGGATCTGAAAGATATTTCGAAAAAAACTCTTTATTAGAAAATTTTACTTTTAAGAATATCTCTTGAGAAAATGAAATGTAATAAGTTATGGTCCAGTTTGCGGCATAGACGTTTTAACACAGGAAAAGGATCATTTGAAAAAAGATATTTAGGCTTCTACTAAAGACATGATAAGTATCAAATCAAATAACCTTTTTCAATTTTTGGAATACTCAATTTCACAGGCAATACCAAAGAATTCTTTAATTATTAATGCAAGATGTAAATTATTATAATATCGTAAAGTTGAAAGTGGAGTATAAAGTTTTGTGTAAAGTTTCATATTTAATAGGGATTTCCGAATAGTTTTTAACTGATATACATACTAACAGTATATGTATATGTAAACTATTTGAAATTGATGCAATTGTCATTGACCAGTTTCACAATAGTAATGTATGAGTAACTACTCATATTCAAAAAACAGTATGCACAGCAGTACCCGTTTATGGCCAGAATATGATTTTTATTGCGAGTCGTTGTTTAAACTTTTTTAACTTCCCGCTAAGAAAATCGAAGATTTTCAAAAATCGGGTAGTTTTTGGTTTTACCCCGTTTTGCAAAAATCGAGTTTTTATCAGATCTCGACGTTTTAAGGTCTCAGGAAGCTTCCCTGACTATCCCCGCGATGGTGTCTGTATGTCTGTAAGTGTGTGTGTGTGTGTGTGTGTGTGTGTGTGTGTGTGTGTGTGTGTCCCTCTTATAGTTTTTGAATGGCTTGACCGATTTCTTCGCGGTTGTTGCCATTCGAAAGGGTTTGACCAAATTTAGATTTTAAATACAATTTGGATCGATTTGAACCGGTATATTTTGTGAAATCTCAAAAAAACTACAAAAAAAAGTTTTTTCAAATGTGGTTTTTTTTTTGGATAACTTTTAAACGGCTTTACCGATCAATTCCTAAAACTATTCAGCTCTTAACATCGAAAAACCACGTCGATCGCCACCAAGTCGGTCAGAATCGGTTGATTCGTTCGTGAGTTATCGTTGACGAAAAAAATTGAAAAAAAGTGTTTTTTTCGAATTAAACCGAAATTTAGAGTCAGTGATCAATTTGTGTTTACACTATATAAATGTTTATACTATGTTTTTTATGATAAGCATCGATCGTTTCGCAATAAAAATAAGTTTGCCATCAACATTTCCACGCTGACTTTTGACAACTACACATGGATAATTAAGGTTAGCGAATCAAATTATCTTCAATTACTGTACTTGAAGAAAAATGAAAAGAAAATATCAACCGTTTTCTAACGCAACTGCGTATCTAAAAAATGACTACTTTTGAGATGACTTAGAAAATGCGTTTTAAAAACTTAATGGTTGATTGAAAATAATGTTTATCAATTGTATTTTCTTAAATAACTATTAATTACAATTTTTGTATCACCTGAGGAGATTCTAAAGCCACTTTTTTTCCGTGTGAGAGTTAATCCATCGAACCATTCCGATGAAACTAAAAAAAAATTTGAATTTTTACATTTTTTTAAAATAACTAAAACGTGCGGAAAAATCATAATAAAATCATGTATACGTTTTTTGTGCTTAAAAAACTGCGTCGAATGCATTTTCGAAAATGAAAATCGAACGACGCATTCAAAAGTTATAGATGTTTAAAAATTCACAAAGTTTTGTTTTTCGGTATTTTTGTAAGATATCTTCGAAATTTCTCAATCAATCAATACAAACCTGTACATTTTCGTTTTGTGCTTTATAAACTGCGTCGAATGCTTTTTCAAAAAAGAAAATCGAACAACGCATTCAAAAGTTATAGTTGTTTAATAAATACATTTTGAGCTCTTCAAGCTCAAAATTTCAAAAACGGTGCTTTGAGCTTGAAAAGCTCAAATATTAACCAAAGAACACATTTTAAGGCGCTTCAAATTCAAACTTAGCGGAAAGTTCTAGGGTTGGCCTGCGCGGTCAACCGATTTCCAGATTTTTTTTCTAGTAACGCATTTACATAACTAATTATTGATTCTCCGATTAAAAATTTTAACTTTCAAAAATCGAAACGTGTGATTGAAATATAAAACCCTCGGTATAATTTTTGAAAATAATATAAGGTATTTTAATATAATGGAATTTTTTTTATTCGTCAAGTACTAGAAAACTAACTGATTTAAATTGCTTTTTCAAAATTTAACTAAGAAAAAAAATTAGGAAAACGGTTTACCCTAAAGGCCATCCCTACAACTTCCCGCTAATTCCATACTTAAGAGCCCAATATTACACCAATTTTGTTTTTGAGCTCATCGAGCTCAAAAATACAATTTATGTGTTATTTATGTGTTATTTTGAGCTCTCCGAGCTCACACAGATAGCTTTTCTATGCTTTTGAGCTCTTCGAGCTCATAAGTCTAATAGAAGCTTCATAGAAGACTATTTTTTGAATTTTCAAACTGCAATAACTTTTGAATTAATCAACCAATTTTCACGCAATTGGCGGCATTCAAAGCAGTTTTTTTTAGTTCTAAAAATAATCTTCAAATGTAGATTGATCATACAGATAATTTCGAAGTAATTTTGAAAAAACTTCTTTTTCGAACTTTGCGTCATCGATATCTCATAAGAACTGATATGATTAGTTTTCGGAATCGGTCGGTAAAGCTGTTTAAAAGTTATTCCAAAAAAACCACATTTGAAAAAAATTTTTTTTTAGTTTTTTGGGGATTTCTCGAAATCTACCCGTCCAAACCGGTTCAAAATCACAGGAAATCTAAGTTTGATGGAACTCTTTGAAACGCATACTTACATACATACATCATCGCAGAAACATTCGGGGAAGTTTCCTAGGTTCTCAAACGTCAAAATCCGTTGGAAACTTGATTTTCGAAAAACGGGGTAAAACCAATAACTTCCCAACTTTTGAAGATTTTCAATTTTCTTAGAGGGGAGTTAAAAAATATTTAATTAAACTTTGCTATACAAATTATTCCTAAAAATATTTCTCACAATAAATATGCAATCTATTATTGACAACGAATAGTTTTACCGTATGATTTTTAACATCAACATATATTTCCACGATTTGTCAAATTCCATTCATGAAATTATAGCAATTCAATCAATATTTTTCCCAAATATTTGGATAATACAAAACTTTGCGAGCAACAGGTTGTAAAGTTTAAAATGATGATAAATTTTTACACTATATTATGTATTTAATAATTGATACTCTAAATTTTTAACATTTCTTTAAATTTCGATACAGCAAGGCAGCTATTTAAATCTTTGAACTTGAACAAAATGAATAAAAATACTTAAAAATAATTTAAATTAAGAAAATAAATATTTTAATTATGAATATTTCAAACAAAAATGTATTATTTGTTATAGATAAAATTAGAACGTGTTTTGGGTGTAACTGTATCGAGTAATGCAGCGTTGGATTGCGACAGTACTAGTGAACTAGTCGCTTATCCTGCAGGGTAAGTCCCTTAGTTTTTATAAAAAAAAGCCAATAAAAGAATGAATAAAATTATGTAATAACTAAAGACACACTAGTATGAGATGCTCTTATGTGCTTCTAATTCGGGAAGCCGCGACAGTGCGCCTTTTAAGGGTTATCCATCCAACATACTATGTCAGTGATACATTGCGTTTCACATTATGAAGGAAATTGTAAACAAATAAAAGTAATCATTATTTATTATTCTTTTTCCTTGTTCATTCTTTTATTCCAATGATTTTCTATAATTTTTTATGATTGTTTATTTGATAATAAATTCCGTGCCATAACGAGAACTTCACCCTAAATTCTACACTGATAGAAAAACAATCTTGATTCAAGAAACTTTTTTTCTTCAAAACTTGAACTCTTGAAACTAGATATAGATATATTTCTTTCAAGAATTCTTGTCTCTTGGTTAAAAATAAGCGATAATATTGATTCAAGATGTTACCGACTTGTGTGAAGAATGGCTTTTTTTTTTGAGTCATTAATTAATTTACTTATTTCTAAGAAATAATTTGTTTTTGGTATAACAATTAAAGAATATTTAGTTTTTGAATTATACTTTGATGAATTATTTTTTAATTATTGAAACGATAATGTTATTTTGATTGAAAAACTTAAATATATCGATTGAAGATAATATAGCTCTTAAGCCAAGAAAATCTAAATCAAGACACCGTAACCAATTTGGCGCCGAATATTAATTTTTTTTCAAAAACTAAATGACAAAAAATTGCTCATGAATTGCTCTTCCGATATAAACAATTGCTCCGCTGCTATAATTAATAATTAATTAATTAATCGTAATTAAAAAATCAAAATTTAATTCCCGATTATCTCTAATTGTGAGGACTAATGTTAATTGTAATAAGTGCCAAAAAATTGCTCATCCTTTTTTCTATTGGGAATGATAGTTATTTTGTGCGTAAAATCGTTTTTAATTAATTAATACTATAAATAATTATATTGCACCTTTAAACCAGTTCCCTGAATCTGGCGGCTGAAAAATGATTTTTAAACCTGCGAATGACAATTGTGACGTCATCGTCGCGACAATTTGATTGTCGTTCTTATGAGGACAAGCTATAGTGATGTATTAAGTTACATGTCCAAGGTATATGTCCATGTAAACAAACTTTTTATGGTTATTCTATTTAGGCTCAATGTTTAATTATGAAATAATAATTATTTTTATGATGCTGAAATTATTGGATTATTGAATTACAGGACAGTGTTTCAGATGCATTAAAAGTAGAATCATCCCTTTACTGCAGGTCGTGTTCACAAAACTCTGTCCAAAAATCTACTTTTACTAATGTATTTTTAAGCTTAGACATAAGTCACTTTTATATACCTTCGACTTCTCTCAAAACTTCATAATAATCAACGTTTAACCGAGAACTTAAGTAGTATTCCAACAAAATTAAAGATACTTGACAAAAATTACTTATTATTTGGTGTAGTAGAGTTTGTCCCACCAGTATATTTGAATAAAGTCGGTCATTATGTAGCTTATACAAGATTGATCGATCAACAATAATTGGGTAAAAATTGATGACTTGGTTTCAAAACCTAACCCTTGCAATTCTAAATCAACTAATATTAAAATTTCATCATAAATTTATGTTTTAATTTGATAATATCTATTATATTTTTAAAACTAAATTATAATGAAATGAAATAAAAATAAAGAATTGACCTATATATAGATAAAATTATTTTTTTTTATTTATTCATACACAAATAATCCTAAAAAAGTTAATTATTTAATTAGCAATTTGTAAAATTAGTTACTAATATTTTTTTAACATGCGGACCTTTTCCGAGTCAATATTAAATAGGACAAACAAAACTGACTTTCTTTATTAGTATAAGATATTTCATAAAAGAAAATTTACTGTATACTTTCAAATTGTCGCGACGATGACGTCACAATTGTCATTTGCAGGTTTAAAGGTGCCATATAATTATTTATAGTATTAATTAATTAGAAACGATTTTACGCACAAAATAATTATCATTCCCAATAGAAAAAAGGATGAGCAATTTTTTGGCACTTATTACAATTAACATTAGTCCTCACAATTAGAGATAATCGGGAATTAAATTTTGATTTTTTAATTACGATTAATTAATTAATTATTAATTATAGCAGCGGAGCAATTGTTTATATCGGAAGAGCAATTCATGAGCAATTTTTTGGCATTTAGTTTTTGAAAAAAAATTAATATTCGGCGCCAAATTGGTTACGGTAATCAAGACAAGAAATTCTTAGAGCAAGTTAATCATTTGTCTTCCAAAATAAATTCGTAGATCAAGAAAATATCTCTTGAGTCAACATAAATTTTCTATCCGTGTATTGTATGTAATCAAAACTCGCACCCAGCAGTAAGACAGTATTCTACTTTAAAACTTAAAAAAAATTAATTTTTTTTTTAATTTTTCAAAAATAAATATATTTTTTCAAATATTCTCTCTGAATTTTAAATCAATTGAATCAGTTGAACTGTACTTTTCTGCGTCTCAAACAAAACTACGTGGGCGCGCTATTGAAGTGTAGCTTGTAACATATATTTAGAAATGTACACTTAAAAAATTCAAAAACTACTTTTTAACACCGCTTGGTGATAAAATTTTCGAATCTACTATACTGATTGTTCTGTAAACTTGTATCAACTGGCTGAAGTGGGATTATTTGAAAATTATTTTGATTTTTAATATTCTTTAATTTCTCACTGTGAAAATTAATAATTTTCAAAACTCGAGTTTTTCAGATCTCGTTTTGAGGTTCTAGGAATCTATCCTAAACATTTATGCAGAATAACTATATTATAAATACTATATACTCTAGTGTCTGTATCTGTGTGCATGTGAGAGTGAGTTTATGTAAATCTCTCATAACTTTTCAACGGTGTGATCGATTCAAACATAGTATACGGCAATCCATAAGATCCCCCAAATTTAGATTTCTTGTAAATTTGAATAGATTTAGAGAAATCACAAAAATAAAATTTAAAAAAAACCGTGTGGGGTCGTGAGACACCAGATAGGAACGAAGTTCAGTCATCACGTATAAATTATACATTAGACAATGTAAAGCCATCATACATAGACTATACATAAAAATTTTAAGCTTTTTTTTAACGTTACGGACGTTTTTTGCCGGCTAGGATACCCTTCCGCAACGCCCCATAAGGAACTTCGTTCCAAAAAAAAAAACTAGGAAAACGGTTGACCCTGAAGGCCATCCCTGTAACTTCCCGCCAATTCTATACCTAAACGCTTGAAATTGCACTTATGAAGTTTTAGAGCTCTTCGAGCTCATAAATACAATTTGTGTATTGTTTGAGCTCTCTGAGCTAAAAAAAATAGCTTTTGTATACTTTTGAGCTCTTCGAGCTCTTTTTGAATGAATGAACCGATTTTCACGCGGTTGGCGGCATTCGACGCAGTTTTTTAAGCTTCATAAAAAATCTTTGAGTTTATATCGACAGTAGAAAAATTCGGAGTAATTCCGAAAAAACGCTTTTTTCGGTTTTCTTTCGTCAACGATAACTCACGAACGAATTAACCGATTTTGACCGGACTGGCGGTGATCGACGTGGTTTTTTGACGTTAAGAGCTGATAAGTTTTTGAAATTGATCGGTAGAGCCGTTTAAAAGTTATTTCGAAAAAACCACTTTTGAAAAAATTTTTTTTTGTAGTTTTTTTACGATTTCTCAAAATCTATCAGTCCGAATCGGTTCAAATTTTCAGGAAATCTAATTTTGAGCGAGCCCTTTCGAATGGCACCAACCACGATCAAATCGGTCAAG